GGCAACAGAATAAAACCCAGTTTCACCAAAAAAATTAGAAAATTAGGCAGATGTGGTGTCACTCACCTTATAGCCCCAGTTACTTGGGAGGCTGAGGTGGGAGGATTGCTTGAGCACAGGAGGTTGAAGCTGCAGTGAACTGTATCCAAGCCTGGATGATAGAACAAGACCTTGTCTTAAAAAAAAAAAAAACGACTTGGGTTCTATAAAATCCAGTTTGTATGCTTATAATGATCTCTTTCCATTTGTCCTGGCAGTGCATTGTTTGTGAATAAATGATGTTTCCATATAAATGAGGTATTATCGCAGTTAGACATTTTTGTAAATCCTGAGGCCTTTGTCTTTTTATTTTAAGTAATTTTATTTTATTGTAATTTTTTTTGAAATGGAGTCTTGCTCTGTTGCCCAGGCTGGAGTGCGGTAGCACAGTCATAGCTTACTGCAGCCTCAAACTCCTGGGCTCAAGCGATCCTCCTGCCTCGGCCTCCTAAAACGTTGGGATTACAGGCATGAACCACCACAGCCGGCCATTTTATTTATTTTATTTTATTTCATTTTTTTTAGAGACAGAGTCTCACCCAGTCAGTTGAGCTAGAGTGCAGTGGCGCAGTCATAGCTCACTGCAGCTTCAAACTTTTGGGTTCCAGCGATCTTTCCATCTCAGCCTTCTGAGTAGCTGGAACTACAGGTGCATACCATCACGCCTGGCTTTTGTCTTTAATATGAAGGTTGTGTATAATGGTTTTTTGTAATGTAATAGTTTTAGTTAATGAATAATACTTCTTTCTTTTAGGTTACACCTATGTTCGAGGATTGGACTACTATTGATTGGTATCGATTTTTCTGTTTATGGGAGAAGTTGCCAACTTCAATGAAAAGGGTGGCAGAGCTAGTGGGAGTTGAAGAGGGGTTCTTGGCCCGCTGTGTGAAAGGAAAAGTAGTAACCAGAACTGAGAGACAGCATCGACAAATGGCCATCCATAAAAGGTAAACGTCTAGGTCTCTGGGCTTTCCAGTATTTAACACAGTGTCTTGCATGTAGTAGATGCCCAGTTTATTGTAGTCACTTTCATTGTCAATAAAATCAAAATTTTGGCA